CTTGTGGCAAGAGGGGAGAGGGCCAGCTTTGGGCCTGCCCCCCTCTCCTCCTTCCAAGGTGGTGTGCTGGGGCGCTTTTCCAGCTGAAACGGATCTGTACAAACAGAACTGACCCTCTACACAAGACTTCCGTGACTAGGAAACTTTCCTATTATAGCTATACAAGCTATATATGGAAGTTGCATTCAGAAACTATCTCCATGCTGTTTAAATGCTGTGATGCAATTACTTTGGCTGAGGGAATGTTCTTCCTGCTCTTCAAGTGTGTTTATCACCTTGATACCTTTTATGAAGTCTAATGACTGTAGGCTAATCTTCAAACCCAGGAGCTATAGCTTGTGGATAGAAAGTGTGCTGGAGAATTACTAGGCTGATGGGCCATATGTACAGTTTTATAAACCAACAGGATGCTTTTAAAATTTCTGTTGAATAAGTGACCTTGAAATGGTGATACTGACCTCTGTGTGTCTTCTTGGTCTAGTACTGAAAATGGGAGATATTGAAAAGGGCAAGAAGATCTTTGTCCAGAAATGTTCCCAGTGTCATACAGTTGAAAAGGGAGGCAAGCACAAGACTGGACCCAACCTGAATGGCCTATTTGGACGCAAAACTGGACAAGCTGAGGGCTTCTCTTACACGGATGCTAATAAGAATAAAGGTAAACTTACAGGTGTTCTGCTGAGTTACCAGGGACAAAAATACTTGGTTATTGGTGATAGTTCCATAAGCACTGAAATCTGCTGAAAAGTAAAATAATATGGAGGACAAGAATATAAATGTGTTTGTTATTTTGAAGTCACTCACTATATTTTTTTTCTTCTTGCTAGGTATCACCTGGGGTGAGGATACTCTGATGGAGTATTTGGAAAATCCAAAGAAGTATATCCCAGGAACAAAGATGATTTTTGCGGGTATTAAGAAGAAGTCTGAGAGAGTAGATTTAATAGCATACCTCAAAGATGCCACTTCAAAGTAAAAGTTATCTGCTGCCTTATTTATTTCACAAAGGAGATGGCAATGGAAATGTCAGTGATGAGATTGGTTTTTAAACTTTCTATTTTTACATGTTCTGTGTCTAACCTTAAAATCTGTCTTACCCATCAGATAACATTGCTCACGGTGGGTCACTGGAGTACACGCTTGTTTGGCAGCCATTAATTTAATGGAAACTATGTAATTGGGTTGATTTAAATGACTATAATGTTCAGTCATTCTTGATCAAAGAATTAAAAAAAATAAATAAACATTTCCTGCCTCTTCATTGTTTAAAGAATTATATAAATAATCAAATGAGTAATTGTCAACAGCATAATAGCTTTGACAGCCCAACTCTTTCACATTAAAAAGCAGGGTGGTTTTTGGCATCTTCCACCATACGTCTTCTGTTACATTATTTTAAAGACTTTTTTTAAAACCCAAAACAACAAAGATTTAAAAAATAAAAACCCAAAGCCCTAAGCTATTTTTCTAAGTTTAATCATTGCTAGGTGTTGTGGTATATATTAATCTGTCTAAAGCTTGCGATAAGAATGCATTTCATCTGACTTAAGTACTATTTGTGAAATGGCAGTTGTGCCCAGCCACTTTTCTTTTATCTAGGGGAAGCATGTTATAATTTGTCCAGATGTTGACAGCTGCATGCACCAGTAGAGTATAACTTCCCTTCAGAAACATCTTCGGTTTTGAAATGTTAATTGAAACCCTTTGTTCAGTAAATCTTCCAAAAACAGCCATTCTTAGCATAATGAATAGAACAGAAAAACATCCTGTTCTGGAAATACAAGTGCTAAAGATCAAACTGACAATTATTAAATCTTCTTAATTCAGCAGAAGCATTCACCTAAAACTTACTGTTACAGGCAATTTCAGACGAAGGGGTACAGGAATGAATGCACTGGTAGACTAAAAGGAAATAGTCTTCCTGTGTGCCTGGCTGTAGCCGATGTCATTACTTTTGAAGGTTCTGTTTCGCACAGTGTAAAGCGGTATTTTTAATGTTTTAACTGCATTTTTTTCATACTAAGTGAATTGTTCAGATGAATGTATTTACTGTGTATCAACAGTAAGGCATAACTCAGAGCAATTAATACTGTAAATTAAAAAAATTAAAAGTCTTGTTTGCTATATGTGTCTGAAATTAAGTGAAAAACAGAATGTAGAGAAAAGTTGGGAGTCCAGTTTTACATCATCAGGAAAGAAGCAAAAGCTCAGCCTGTAAAACAGTAAAGGCTGATGGAGTTGGCATGGGAAGTACTTACAAAGTGTGGCAAAATTAGAAAGTATTTTGGACTAGAGCTAGCAAAGCTCTTCCAGCAGTGTTCTCTTTAACAGCACTTTTGCTGTGTTTCCAGAGTGGGATGGGAGAAAACTCAAAGTAGCTTGAAAGCTGTAGCTGTGCTGTAGGATTGGCTGAGTTTGAGTTGTGTCAAGTAGAATAGTGTGCTTAATGACGGAGTTGCAAAGGTCTGTTATTCAGAATTAATGAGTGAAAAGAATTAAGATTACTAATAAGTTGTCTCAATGGTTGCTACCATGTGTTGTGATTTTTTTTGATTTTTTTTTTTTCCAAACTAAATGTGCAAGCAGGGTTTCTTGCAAATAGGAGGGCAGACTTAATATAAACCAACAGCGGCTTCTTTACTAAAAGCTTGTTAAGAGATACCTTCAAATTGTAGTAGTTTATTAGTGTTCCAATTTTCAGAAGTGATGTTTGTCATAGTACCTTTAGCACAACTTAGTTTTTACTGAACCAAAATGCCAATAGAGCAGTTGTAGATACAGAATGTAACCTTACACAGCTCTGCAGTCTTCTGAAATTATTATGGTGGATCGCATGGAGAGACTTGTGACACTTTCTGTTCTGTCAGCACCTTTATGAAATGAAAAAAACTTTGTGATCTCTAAGCTGCTCTTCTTCCCTAGTTGAGCTGGAGAGGAAATGGACTGTAGAGAAGAGGATTTTGCAGTAAGGTGCCATTTAATTCTGCACAGGCAACAGTTTACAAAAAGTTATCCGTCATCAGAAAAGCTCCTTCAGGGGAAAGCAGAGTGATCCTTTGTCCAAAGTAGAGGACACAAATTAGCTTGGCTGGTTCTGTCTGTCTGTACCTCCAAGATCTTGGTACAAAGACAAGTGCAGCTTATACATACCACTGAAGATGGAGAAAAGGGAACTTTTTCATTCCAGCCTGAGGATGCATCCTTGTTTACTTACATTTTAGGGAAAAGACCCTTCTGACCTTTAAAATTTCATCTTTCTTTCTACGTATACAGCCCTGGACAGCAACAGCTTGTAAGATTTGTTGTAGTAGCTAGCTAGCAGCCATTTACCACTGGACAAACACAATGCTATAGTATTTCTCGTAGTGGCTCAGTAAAGTAAGAATATTGAAATGGAAGGTTAGATTATTATTTGTAAAGATAAGTGTTAATGCAAGTGCCTGGGTGGGGTTTTTGGAGGGTAGGAGGGAGGCATTGTGGAATCAAGCTTTAGTTCTTTGATTTCTAGTTTTATAGAGTAGGGGAGGAGTGGGGTTTGCCTTCGGTTTATGAAGTAGCAAGTTCATAGAGTTTTTCTTTCTGACAGTGTTATCAGTCTAGGCACTTGGTATTTCAGTAGTTCCTTTAAAGTTCCAAATTAGGGAATCAAGGCACCGTTGCCAAACGTTGCACCATCCCATAAAAATTACTCTTGGCGACTAGTTCACAGATATGATGGGGCATGCCTTTAAAACTGATCTTGTAATATTTTCACATGAAGTTATAAAAATGCATGAAGATTGACAATAATGACTGGAAAAGTAAAATTCAAAAGTACACCTTTTCACAGTATGACTTTTTGAAACCAAAATTAAATAGGTAGGATGCTTTTAAAATGAAGTTGTTATTTATGCATCCCATTGAAATTTAGTGATACAGAAGCTCTTTTTTATTTAGAGTCTAACAATTCAAGAGTAATCACTCTACAAACAACTTAATTTGGCAAAGTTCCATTTGTAGCTGTCTGCAGTTGTAGATAATTGCTTCAGTTAAAGATCTGTTCATTTTAATACAGCTAGTCTTGTATGGGATTATGTAATACTTTACTTTCTCGCTATAAAATACAGTATCGGTAATCCAGAACAAATGTGATACATTATACTTCTCTTATGGGGAAGGACAGAAATTAAACAGCTAATAGTTAAGAGCTGTTAGATATTCTAGTCTCTCACGTATATCAAAGGCCATTGACGTGCACACATCTACCTCTGCAGTAAGCTTCGTAGTTTGCCTTTATTTAAAACACATCCTAAAAACTCTTCCAGGGACAAAGCCAACAGAATTCTCTGTGTTACTGCATATAGGATGAGGTGAACCATTTCAAACTGATGTCCTGAAAACCAGGTTATTCTGGGAGGTGAGCAGCCCAGAGCTAGCAGTAGGAAATGTTAACCCTGGGGAAGGGTGTGAAATCCTGTCCCTTTCTGGTGCTGCAATGGCTCAGTCAGGACTCCGGGTAGTTCTTGCCATCGGCTCATGATTCAGAGCTTGCACGTAAGTACTTGCGTGGTTTTTTTCCAAGATCATTCTTTTGATCTGAAATACAGAAAATATGATGGTCACCTTTTGAATAATTAGTTTCTGGTTAGAGGTCTCACAGGAGGCGAGATATGGATGACACGTTTGCTTCTGTGACAGGATACAGATTTGCATCTTCAAATTTCCAGAAGGCTGCGTTAACCAACAAACAGAACATGTGCTCTGGGAAGAAGATAGTCTACCTTTGTGGGAGCTGTCAATTATGCAAAAGGAGAGCCAGAAGAAAAATGAGCAAAGGAGGAGCTAACTATAGCATAGTGTTCAAAACACATGTCTTGGAGCAGGGGCGAATGTGTGTTCCTTCCAGGTTGTTTATGCGTGTAATTTTAAACAGTCCTGGATAAAAATAAACCTGGCAGTGGAGATCAGAAGTCATTACTCTGCTGGTTTTACCTCTCATTAATGCTGTTCACTGCAGCTTGCTCAGGCAATGTGAGCTCCTGCCTTGTTCCTTGCAGAATCACCCACTCTCCAGAATCATCTTCCCCTGCCTCATTCTCCGTGTGTTAGAAGATATTTTTGTATGTATGACTGTGCTGTCCCCATTTTACTGCACTGCCCACCTTTTGGTCATAAGGACTCAAAAGCTGTTGACGGAAACTGAGTGATGTTCTCATCCTTACAATGATCTGCAGAAATTCACTGCTGATGTCCCCATTTAGTCGTGACTGGTGTCAATTTCTTTTTAAGATGTCTGATGGGTCTTAATTTTTGCAACATTACCTTTTGTTGATTTTTTTTTTTTAAAATTCTAAATTTTTGATAAAGCTAACTATAGCAGGTAAGAGTTTTATGTGGCTTTTACCTGCACTATATCTCAGGGGTTTTTTTATTGTGAGCTGCAGCATGATGATGTGGGCATTCCCTGGTGTGTAGCGCTTCCAGACAAGTAGGAAAAATGCTCCACATACACAGAATTGTAAAGATACTGTTGGTGTCACATGTAGCCTCAAGAACCTGGTGCTCTCACCCAGGTTTTGTTGCAGGAATGTGCCTATGCTGACTGTAACCAGCCTTTTCCTGAAAGCATTTTTAGCATTTCTCCTTCTACTGCTGATTCATTGTTCGGAGAACAGAGAAGAATGGAAATCAGGTTTCTACATATTTCTTATGGGACCTTGTAATTTTATTTCCAAATTATTCTGTCAGTTTACCTGCTATTCATGTAAAGCCTCGAGTTCTTCCCCGTGCTATTTTTAATGGAAAGGTACCACGTTTTCAACTCCACAGATTTTGGGCATAGTGACTGATTCTAATTCTGATTCTGATGTACAAATTGTCATTGGTTAGCTTACCCATCTGGCCTTTCTCTTCTTCATTTTACCTGTTACTATTGATATTGGTTGAACTGCAGGCAGCTTCTTGTACTTCACACTTCAAACATACTCTTTCATTTACACATTTCTTAACTCTGTAGTGGATTGGTTTTTAAAGTTTCCATGTAATGACTTTCAAGTAAAGTCCTTTTTTCATTGTCTTTTTCGTTGTTTAATTTTTTATTATTTTTGTTTTTAATTCACTGGAAATGATTTAACTTTTTTAACTATCCCTCACACAGTGGCACTGTATTATTTTGTATACAGCACTGTTTTGGACATATTCTTATGTATTGAACAAGGATTGTGTCCTTCGCAGAGATCCCTGAGTCTTGTGAGCCTCAAACACACG